GAGCCTTTTTAATGCTATGAATAACACTGCAGGACAAAGCTATGTCTTTTTCCATTTCTGAACTAATACTGTTCCACATAAGAAAAATTGCCCCCAGCAAGCACCAAGGTCAGGCAAATGATGAACAGTTTTATTCCTTTTATACAGGCTTCAAAATTCCTATAATGTTGGGGGGGGTCTCTACCATTTTGGTTCCTTCTTTTCAGGTTATTAATGTAATGCTAATACATTAAATTGTATTTGGAAATCATATGATGAATTATGTACTCTGATGTCTGCTTCAAACGTCTTTTCTCCCCTTCTTTCCTATGAGCCTCTATCGCCTGACATGACAGCAAGTGACAAGAGCAATAGCTATCTGTTAGAATCATAAAAGTATAGGGTTGGAAGGGACATTAAAGGTCTTCTAGTCCAATCCTCTGCACAAATACAGGATGCAGCGTTCCTGTATTATCTCAAACAAATGCCTATTCAGCCTCTTCTTGCAAACCTTCAATGAAGGAGTTTTCACAACTTTCCTGGGCAATAGTGTGAGTAGGGGTGGGCGAGAGGGACATCCACCCTGAGTGCCAAGTTAGGAAGTGTACAAGAATTGCCCCCCACCCCTGTGGAGTCTGCACCCTGGAGGCAAGAGCAGCTCCACAGCTTACACATGCCGGGAACTCCAAAACATTCCTTGACTGCTGCTGCTGCTGCTTTAAGAGCAACAGCTGGGGTGGGCAAAGTATTTAGCAGCAGCTCAGCCAGGAGCTGTTTCAGAGTTCCTGGCATGGATAAGACTGATGCTCCAGCCCCCATGCTCTCTCAGGTGCCCCTCTGCCTTGGAAGTGTGCGCCGTCCCAGCCCCCACTCTCAGAACCACACCCCCTCCCCACTCTCGTCAGGGTTGGGTGACAGCTCTACCTGTTACACCAGTGTCCTCTGCCCTATTGTTCTGGCAGTAAGGTAGTTTCTTCTGATATTACATCGAAACCTGTTTTGCTCCACTTTAAACCCATTGCTTCAGGTTTGGCCTTCTGTAGCAAAGAGGAATAGTTGATCTCCCTTCTCCTTACAGCAGCCTTTTGAGTCACTGAAAACTACTGTCATGTTCTCCCTCAATCTCCTTTATGCCAAACTACTTCTCTCAACCTTTCCTGGTTCAACCCTTTTATCAGCTTTGCTGCTGGCCTCTATAACCTCTTCAGTTTCTCCACATCTTTCTTAAATTGTGAAGCACAGCTTCTAGAGTGCTGCCTGTGCTCCAGAGCTCTGGGCTCTTACATTGTGGACCCCAGAACTGCATACAAAACACTAGCTAAGCAGAGTGATATTTTCACCTCCTGGTTTTATATACTATACTGCTTTTAATGCAGTCCAAAAACTCTTGGGTTTTTTGGTGACAGTGTCACACTGTTCTGTTGGCTCACTTGAGTCTGTGATCCACCAGAGTCCCCAGATCTTTCTCAACAACACTGCTGCCTAGCCAGTCATCCAGTTGCATGATTATGCATTCAGTTTTTCTCCATTTTGTGTAGCATCTGACATTTGCCTTGGTTGAATTTCATTGTTTGTCTAGTGCCCGGTTCCAATCTATCCAGACCTTTTGAGATCCTATCCTCCAAAGTGTTTGCAAGCCCTCCCAGTTTTGTTTGTTTGTCTGTATTTGGCTGGTTTTTACCTTGCATTTCCATGGTGATACCACGTATGTGAACGGTAAGGAACAGTAAGGCTGGGGGCTGAGAGTCCTTTAACTGGTGCCCAAATGTAGTGAATATGCTGTAGCAACCAGGCCACTTGGGCCAGGGGACAGTGCAGTACATGGCTTATACTTGAGACCTGGTTTCCATTCCTGCTCTAGGTCTCTTATCTCACTCTAGTTTCAGAACTGACATGATGAAGCAAACTCAAGCAGAGGTATAACTGGCCTGTACAGCATCGTAGGTGGTGGTGGTACACAGTACAGGCCCAGCCGCTGGAGGTTTGCTGCTACAGAGGGGATGTCACCTCCCCTTTTTTGCCACCAACATATGCATTGAGTGGCCATTAAAACATTGATTTTTGGCAGCAGTGTGCCTCTGGCCACTGCTTTTACACCATACACCACCACTGCTGCTCTGCCTTCTCTGTTACCAGAGCTGCTGCAGAGAAGGTACAGGGTGTTGTGGTGGGGAGGACTGTGGGAAACAAGAGACCAAGGCTGCCCACTAGGTCCATTCTGGCACTCCTCTTGCCCCCTAGCTTGTGCCCTGCTTGCCTACCTCTTGGTACGCTACTAAACTCAAGGCTGATATTTCAGTTCCTATTACTCAGCTTTGTACATTAGGTATTGGAAACAAAAACATTATTTCTCTGGCATTCGCAGAAAATCTTTGAGCACAGTGAAGGAGTTGTGATCATGGGTTTAAATTTAATAAACATCAGAAAAAGTTAACGAAGCATTCTGGGAACCATACCAATAAATCTTACTATGTCAGCATCTGAGTTCAGGAAAGGTTGCATGTTCTTTCTGCTTAATGGTGTACTGTAGTTGCTGGCTGAGAACTTTCTGATGGCGACCAAGTTATTACAGGGATGGTCCGACTTGATTGAATCTAAATCAGTTCCTGCCCAGTGGTGTATCATATAGATGTAATAGGTGTGTAAGGTCTGATGTATGCATGTGCCTTCTGGGCTTGGCTTTCTGAACGTGGGGTTGAAATAGCCAAACCCTGTGCTCTGCTTCAGAGCTAAGTTTCAGCCTTTGCTGAGTGCTCTCATCCCAACACGGCTGGCTATTTGGCATTTGGTTCTTGGTGGGAAGTTAAGAGTCCATTAGTGTTGTTTAAATGCCAGTAGGCTCTGCGGTCAGAGAAAAAGAAACGGTCCTTCACCCTGAGAAGCTCACAAACTAAACGGGAAAGGGAGGGGAAACAGAAACAACATAGAATCAGCGTGCTCCAGGTGGTGATTTGCTATTGCTTAATGGGTTGACTTAAAAAATAGATACAGTTGCTTGATGTTTTGTATAGCATGTTACACAAATTATCTCCAGCTGCCCCTCAGAATTGTCATTGGCAGGGTAAGCATAATGGCAGATGTTAGTTGTGAGGAAGGATTTGAATGTGAGTAGCCATGGGAACCAGTTTAGGAAAAACATCCTGTGACGAGAGGTATGGATTAAAATACTGACGTGTTTGTGAGAGAAGGAAGCACGTAGGTTCCAGCTTGTTGGAAAAACCATTATGATTCAAATTTAATATTTCTGTCTTTGCTGAAGCTGTGGCAGTATATCATGCTGAATTCCTATTACGTATCTACTTAAGCTAGCATCTTTTAACAAAATGGAAAGCCACTGCCATCTCACAGTTTGTTCCACCAGGATCCTATCTTCTTCGCTTCATGCCCTGTCTGACCATCACAATTGTTTTCGGATCCCTACCTCCATCGTCTTATCTTCCATAAATCAGGATTTGGCTTCAACGATCCACAGCTGGCTGGAATGCTTGGCTCTCACTCTGCAGTCCTGTGAATTCAGTGTCTGTCACCTGGCAGTAGCCCAGTTTTGGAATGACAGGCAGGGCAGATTGGAGACCAGGCAATTGCCTCCTAGTCTGAGTGATATTTTAATGAGCACAGAAAGGTGACAGAGAGGGGAGCTTCTCACTGGAATGACTGGCAGGCTTGTTCTCAGGCTCAAAGCCCTAATAGATCGTTGTTTGGCCTCACTCCAGCAGAACTGCAGAGCTGGAAAATCCTGTTAGGTCCTAACTTATTCATCCTTCATAGGAGCAAGACAAGTTTTTTCTCTATGGTGTGTCCTCCAGTTTTAAATGGCTCAGTCATGGGCTTCTTCCTCTTCCTTGGTTTTAATTCCACTGTCTTTCTTTCCACGCTTGGGGAGTTTTCCCTATATTCATTTTACATCTTCCTTTTCTCAATTTATGTTCTCCACCATTCCTCACGTTTTGCCTCCCTAAACAATCGCTCCCCCTCCTACTTCACCACATCCTCATACCCATAGGTGACACGTAGGAGGGACACTGGGGGCAGGGGGGCACGTGCCTCCCCTGAGATTGGCTGTCACTGACTTCTGCAGGCGGTCGCCACTCGCCCCCCGCCTCCCTTGTCACCAACGTGGCCACTGGCATCTGCGGGCAGTCCCTGCTCGCCGCTCACCCCACCACCACCGCTGGTGTCTGCAGGTGGTCCCCACTTGCCACACCACCATGGTGCCCCCCCGCCAGTCTTGGGAGGCACCTGTCGTTTATGCTCATACCTGTAGTGAAAAACCTTCAATCTGCCTAACTGAGTGTACCAACTCCCCTGGCTTCCCCCTCCTATTCTTTTTGAAAAAGGCAGTGCAGTATCAGGCAGTGACATCTGCATGGGAACCACTGTCTCTTCCTATTCCTCAGCTGCACTTCAGTAACATAATACAAAGCTTGTGCAGGGCTGTTTCTTCCTTAGTCCTATAAACAAAAGCATTACTAAAGGGAACCCTTTCAGTGTCCCAGGAAGCCCTGAGATTTTTGTGGGCAGCACAGCTCCATGTAGATCAGGGGCGGGTAAGTATTTTGGGCAGAGGGGCACTTACTAAGTTTTGGCAAGCCATCAAGGGCTGCATGACAGGCAGCCCAGGGCAGATTAATATTAACTTTCTACATTTTTTTAGGGGCCCCAGGGGTTGGATAGAATGGCCTGGTGGGCTGCATCTGGCCCGCAGGCCACACTTTGCCCACCCCTGATGTAGATGGTCCAGTAAAGGCAGCTGGGGTCTCTCAAAAAAAAAGGGGGTGGGGGTGGCTAGGGCTTTGAGTACAAGATAAACAGCTCCAGTTCTCACTAGGGCATCTGTGTAAGGTTATGGGGTATAAACTGAGCCATGGCCCCATGACTCGGTGTTTCTGTCTTCATGTGCACTGAGCAGAGAAGGGACTCAGGACTTTTTAAAGCCTGACATGAACCAAGACAGTTGAGACACCACTTATCGCCTGGTATGAGTTAAAAATACGTCAGCTAAAATGTGCTGCCTTTTTTTCAGATATGACGATGGCCCTGAAAGCTCAGCTCCTGATTGGTGTCCTCTACTATGTAACCTGTTCCCTTGTGTATGGCTTCCCCACTGACCCTGGGACTGAGTTCCGCTCTGCTTTCTCTGTGGCTAGAACCAGCAGCATGGAAGGGAGCTCTGAGATGGTCATCACCTTTGACAAGGTCTATGTGAACATTGGTAATGACTTTGACCCCAAGACTGGGATGTTCAGGTGTCGAATCCCTGGGGCCTATTACTTCTCCTTCACTGTTGGGAAATACCCCAAGAAAAACTTGTCTGTCATGCTGATGAGAAACAAGAACGAGGTGCAAGTAATTGTGTATGATGAGCATCATCGCAAGGAACGGAAGGTGGCCAGCCAGAGTGCCATGCTGCAGTTGGACTATGGTGACACAGTCTGGCTGCGTTTACATGGAGATCCCAAATATGCCCTCTACAGCAATGCAGGCCCGTACACAACTTTCAATGGCTATCTCATTTATCCAGACACCTCTTCCTACTTCCAAAACAGTGTAACCTCTCAGGAGCTGGCAGGAGGTGCAGAGCCACTTCATCGTGCCATTCAGCAACTTCCAGGAGAGCAGAATGAAGCCTCAGAAGTACACATGCTGTCTGATGAACCAGCCAGAATACAAGACCCCCGCTCTGCATTTTCTGTTGCCCGCACACAAAGCCTTTTGGGGACAGATGAGAAACAGACCCAGCATGAGCCAATCACGTTTGACACAGAGTTTGTGAACATTGGGAGGGATTTCAATTCCTCAAGTGGCATCTTCTTGTGCCGTGTGCCTGGTGCATATTATTTTTCTTTCACCATTGGCAAAATGCCTTTTAAGACCATGTCAGTGAAACTGATGA